AGGGAAGAGGAGTTTAAGACTAGGAGCATTTAGAAGAGATGGAATGTTGCTTGGTAGTAGAATAAGAGTTCCATTGTGATAAATGATAAGAGGATGACGTTTAGGAATATAGCCTTCTATTGAAGTAATGATTCAACGAGAAGGGATTTCATGAATTCCGCGATACTAGAATACCTACCATGAGATGAATCACATTGAGATGCTATATTGAAGTATAGTATCGTCCCTATGTCGATCAGGCAAATAACTTCACATGTTCCCCTATGAGACGTGATCTCTAGTGACAATGTAGCACATAAGAGGTTTCAAGTTATCAGCGGTACAATATAGATCACCATTAAGGTGAATCAATAATAGTTGGATAAAATCTCCAAAGTATGAGATGTTCTTAAGATCACTAGTAATAAAGAAGCATTGAAGGACTTAGATTTATACATATAGAATAAGCAGTATGAGAGTAACCTGGAATTGGGTAGCAGACATTGGTAATAATAAACTGAAGTAAGTGTTATGGTATAGTATGACCTACCTAGATGCAGTAAAGACAATAGTGGTAAGTTCGACAAAGTACCAAGCGAAGAATTTCAGTATACCTATAAATGCCCAGAGGAACAACTTGTCATAGTTATGTATGTGTTCGCAAAGTGAGGCTATATGAGAATAGATTGGCTAGAAAAAGGAGGAAAAAGAAGAGAATAGTCGCGTAGGCGCGCGTACAAGGGTAGAGTCGTACAGGCTATATGACCGAAGGTAGCAACAGTTACGAGATTTGAAGAATTCCGATCACAGGTCGTGGTGTGAGAAAGAGGCCTAAAGGGGGGAATGCCCTGGCTTTCAGATTTGTTCACATAACAGTTTCCTTAACGAAAATGACAGTATTAAAGTATTCATAAGAGCTATAGGTTATGAGACTGATAAGCACATCAGTCAACATTCGAGGATGAATGTTCTAAAGGGGGGAATAAGTAAGTTAATCATGTTACCGTGGAGGTTTCAAATATTTAATATCATGAATTACAAGTACCAAGAGGGTTGGAAAGCTTAGAAGCTAAACGAATTGAAGGAAATAAACTTCGTCGAAAGTTTACAAGTTAGGAATGTTATAATACGAACTTTTGGGGTGAGACTAGGGTACTTAACATGATAAGGAGGTTATGTGTTGATTTATTTTAGTCTTATAATAGCCATGTGTTATATTTTAAATTTAAGCGAGTTGTGAAACAAATATTGGCAAAGATCATCACAAGTTACATTCATAAATGTGCTGAAAATTAGGCCACATGTAGCAGATCTTTTCTCTCAATATATTAAGCATTATGGGGTGATGCACCTATCAAATTAAAAATGTACGAGTCTAGTATCTAACGCATTAAACCGTTCATAGATACGACATCGGAGTAGGGAGATATTCGCATTTTTGCAAGACTGCACAGATTAATAGGTGACAAGTAGGGGTATCACCTACTTGTTTAAATGAAGAGACCAAATAAATCCCCAAAAAGGGGCGGCCAAGGGGCCTTTTAAGGGCTGAATTAAAAAATTTATTTCACACATATTTCGGACTAAGAACATCATATTGAAACCCTGCAACTCCTCCCAAAAAAAATCCCACACAAACCCTAGGTGATTTCGGGTGATATGTAGCGATTCTTGTGCCGAAAACCCGGACAGCTTGCTACTTTTCCCTTTCTCCTTCTTGTAGATGCGTTGGGGGACTGATTTTGGATGACAAGAGACTAGGTTTCGTGGGTTCTACTTATTATAAGGTAAGTTTATGCTTCTCTTTGCCTTATCTAAGCTTTTACGAGTTGTAGCTCGATCGTAAAGACTAGGACTTGCGAGTTTTGAAAGAGTAGAATGTTGTTTGTCGTGGCATCACTATTGGCTGGTTGTGAACATAATTTTAAGGTGAATTCATGGTTGTTTTATATGAGAAGAGGCTTAATTATGTATTGTTGGTTGTGTTTCTCGATTTGAAAGAAAAGATAAGTCAAAAACGTGTTTTAGTAATCTGAACAATAAGTTAAGTTGTTGAACTTGTGGGACTATTATGGGGTCGTTTTAAAGTTGTATTGTGGCTGAAAATTATTAGTTATAATTGAATATGTGGCGGTTAATGTTGTTGATAAATTATGGAAGGAAGAAGGGGTTTAAAACTATATTTATTTAGTCACAAACCGAGTTTGCCCCTCGTCGAGATTGTTAAACAGTTTTGAAAGGCTTATTATAAGTATTGTTGATGTTGTTTGGGCTATTTTTGGCTGTTTTAACTTGTGGGAAGTCATATAAACAGGGGAGGTGTTTTCCGTTTTATCGTAGAATAAAGTGTGTCGTTCAAATGCGATAAGTTATGGCATTCTTATTGTGACGATAGTGTTCTTCATTGCTTGTAGACAATGGAGCAGCATGTTAAGTTAGCTTGAGGATTGGACTGGATATTATGAGGTATGTAAGGTCTTCTTTTCTTTTATTTGGCATGACTACGTAAGTTATGTTGCCCTTGTAAGGAATTCAAGGGGGAGAGTCTTTGTATACGTACTATTCCGACGATTAAGGTCCGTTCACGAGTCTAAAAATAGTCATACGAATGTTGAAAAGGATTGTGTTAGTCGCCGTCTCGTGTATTCGTAATGACTAAATAAAGCCTTCCAAAAGGTCCTTGTCTTCTATATGTAACAAGGTGTCTAGAAGTGAATTAAAATTATATACGAATCGTCTAACAAATCAGAAGCAATATAGTGTCAATATATTGATGGATAGTTATATACGAATAGTTCAACAAGTAGCATAATATATAGTTTACTGAATGATAAGAATGATTCGACCTAAGGAATGCCATGACTTCCAATACTTACATGTTTGTGTTCAGAAAACTGATAAAGATCTAGAAGATAGTTATGTTGATCACAAGTTAAGAAAGGTTGATTATATATGAGGGTGATATTAAGAGACGATATACGCTATCTATGGGATTGCAAACTACATAATATGATAAGTTTAGAAATAATAATGTAGTTAATAGAGCGTAACTCGTGCAACTCTTGTAACGTATTGATGAATGGATATATATATATATATATATGTATAATGAGTATCCTCACAAGCTAAGCATATTACATAGCTATAAGTAGACAAAATCGTGTAATCACCAGAAACGAGTTGTGATGTGAAGTAAGGATAAAAATGTGATTCTGAAATAGTTACAACGTTCTTTACAGCTAAATAATATAGAATACGAAGGATGACATAACAAGCGGCTAAGGAATAAGGATTGGATACTGTAATGAATTACTCATTGACTTATATTGTTATGAATACGAGTTTATCTATTGATGATTGAATGATGTCTGCATGAGTAATATGAAATGAGTATGTATAAGACATGGTTCCTACGGACGGTCTATGAACGAAAAGGTGTACAGTGAAGCCCTGCAGACGGTCTATGAATGCGTAGGTGCATAATGAAGGTTGGTTATGGATGGTCTCAGTTGCACGCATAACCAGACCTTGGTATTGTGAGCCATACGGACGACCTACTATGTTACGCATATGAGCAACATTTATTCATATTTATGAGTGAGCTTTACAGATGGTCTTTTATGAAATGTATAAGTGCCACTTTTATGTTTTAGTGTATCCCTAAAGATGTTTGACCTATCTACGATCGCATATGGAAATAAGGCCAGATATATCATGATGCAAATTAGATATATGTACGAAAATCGCGACATTAGATGTTCTCGGCCAACGGAGCATTCCCTTTACAGTCTACATCCATTGTAAGGTAAGTTAGATAATTCAATACTTTGATATGTTACGATTCATAATAAGATAATTATGATTCCCTCATTTCATTGACCCTCCAGATTACTTTCAGTATATCATATATACATGTCTGTTCAGTTTCAATTCAATTATTCATAAGTTATCTGCCATACATACTTAGTACATTTCTTTGTAGTAATGTCCCATCGTTGGGTCACTGCATTCATGCATGCTGGTTCAGGTATCTAGTTTGACAGGCTCTTATCATAGACAGAGTTGATATCTAGCTGAGGATTCGCAAAGCTCCAGATCATCCGGAGTACGTCGAGTCTAGAGATTATCAGATTGTCCTATGTATATATATACTTATGGGTAGGTCAGTGTCCTGTCATGACCATATTTTGATGTCAGATACTCTTAGAGGCTTTGTAGACACAGGTTCAATCTGTACAGCATGTGAGAGGCCTTGACGGCCCGTGTATATCCATGTTCTGAGTAGGATGGCTCGCTGATACAGCATCTTCCCACTTATAGTTATACATTAAGAGTCGTGGCCATGTTGGCACATCATAGTTACAGAAAGAATGAGTTTAGCCAAGTCGGCCTATGTATGTTCTAGTTTTTGTCGAACAATCATGAATTACAGAGTGTTTTGCTCGGGCCAGTACGGCACCGGGTGCCAGCCATGCCTCGCCTAGGTTGGGGTGTGACGCCTTATTTAAATCCTTAGAGTCTATGCACATCCTAAACTTGTTATTCTTTTTTGGTACTATAACTATGATGGATAATCATTCCGGATCTTTTACCTCCAAGATCGAACCAATATTGATTTATCAGGTTACCTCTTCCTTAACAAGCTTGTTCTTGACCTCTACTATCAGGTGTTTCTTTTGCCTCACCAGTGAGAAATGTTTATCTAGACTCAGCTTGTGAACCGCTACCTCTAATGTGATACCTGCCATATCCAAGTGCGACCGTGCAAAGCAGTCAATGTTAGCTTTAAGAAAATTTATAAATTCTAACCTGAGCTCGGGATTTAATCATATTCCCATATGAAACTTCCTTTCTAGAAATTCTTCAAACAAGGCCACTTGCTCGAGTTCTTCCGTGGTCGACCTGGTCACATCCATCTCCTTTGGTACCTTAAAATATCTCAGAACCTGATGGGATTCCGATGACTCCTCACTTTTATTGTCTTCATTTGGAAAGGGAGAAGGCATTGGTTCCTATTATTGCTATTTGTTTGACTCTTTCCCCTTGCTTTTAGAAACGATTACCGCGTTCATCTCCCTCTTTTTCGGTTGGTCTCCTTTTATTTTCTTGATTCCTTCCGGCATTGGAAATTGCAACAACCGATGATATGTTGAGGGAATGACCTTTATCTTGTGCATCCACAGCATTCCGAGGATAACATTGAAACCCATATCTTCATCTACAACTTCGAATAGAGTGGTCTTTGTTACTCCTTTGACGTGTGTAGGCAGCAAAATCTCTCCTCGGGTCGTTACGCTTGTCAAGTTAAAGCCAGCTAAGAGTTTTATCGCTGGAATAATAGTTAACTTCGCTTGCTCCAACACTCTTAATTGGATGATATTGGCTGAGCTTCCAAGATCAACCAAAACACGTTTAATTTTGTAATCTAAAACATTGAGAGAGATTACCAAGTCATTGGGCGGCAGAAGAAGATCATTAGTGTCCTCCTACATGAAGGTGATATCATCTTCCGCTACTTCCCGGAGTCTCTTGCTGTGAGTTACCAATATCTTTGTTTTCTTAGCCGCTGAAAAGGTTACACAATTGACTCTGTTTCCTCTAAAGTTGATGTTGATAGCCATCCGAGGCGACCCTTCTACTACCTTTGAAGGCTCCGCATTGTCCAGGCTTCTGCCATACTCGTTCTTGGCTCGGTCACTTAAGAACTCCCTATGATGGCCATTCTTCAACAATGTCGCCACCTCTTTGCGAAGATGTCGGCAGTCCTCAATTCTATGGTCATGAGTCCCATGTTATTCACGCCATAAATGGGGATCTCTCTAGCTAGGATCTGATCGAATTGGCTTTGGGAACCATGCTTCCTTGATATTTCTCATTGTCGATGCCAATTCTACCAAGTTAATGTTAAAATCGTAATTTGATAACTTGGGATATGCGGAGTCTCGGGCCCCTGGCACCTCCTTCTCCTGTAATGACCTGTTGTTCTAGACCAATCGGTTCTTCTATCGATAGAAAACCTATCTGATGACTGAAACCCTTTGTTTCAATGCCCATCGGCCCTCTCGTACGGTAAAAAATGACCTTTAGAGGACCACCTATCCGCATCAAAGTCGCTCTTAAACTTGTCCTAGTTTTTGTCTCGACCCCGTCCCTTAGTTGATACCAAAAACCCAAGTTGATCGTCTTCTATCCTTTTTTAACTCATAAAGATTATAAACATCTGCCCATGTGTTTGCCTGAAACTCGAGCATGCTCTCCTTCAATTTTTGGCACGCATTTGAACTCAGCGGGTTTAGACCCTTCTCGTAGTAGCTCGGATTCGACCTACAAAATTCTGAATATGTCTGCCTTTATGGCCTGAACCTTGCTTGTCCGGCATGGGCCTTAATGAATAAGTCTGCAAGCATCTCAAAAGAATCAATTGAATACTCGGGGTAAGAGAGAGTACCATATCAGGGCCCCCCTTGTGAGGGTTGCACCTAACTTTTCAATAGAACATACTCGATCTCATGTTGAGCCAAGTCGTTTTCTTTCATTGTCGTGGTGTAGGTTGTGATGTGCTCCTGCGGATACGAAGACCTATCGTATTTTGGTATGTCCGGGATCTTGAATCTATTCGGAATTAGTTCTGGTGTTGCACTTGGCTTAAACGGAAACTGTGTGCATTTTATCGAATCTGGACCTTTTAGCATCGGTGGCACACACGGAATTTGATCCGCCAGAGTGTGAAACTCCTTAGCATTCTAATACATCTGTTCATTCATTTCTCGCATGAACCTCATATGCTCAGTTTTGAAAGGATCACTCACATCGTTATTCCTCGATCCGCTTTCGGTCCCTCCGGCTTTGTCAAAACCGACTTCGCCACTTGGAGTGTTGTTATCGATTCTATGAGCCGTTTGATTCGCTGGAACACTAGGAGAGATTGGAGTCACTAGACTAAGCTTACTTTAATTTCGTCATCACCCAATCCTGCCTTGAGAGATGATCCATGATTGCTTTCTGCTGCTCCCTCAGGAGTCTGACCATTTCCATGACATGTTCCTCCTCCGCATCATCGGGGGTTTGTTCCACAAATTGCTGAGGGTACTAACCTTCTCAAACTAGGGTTGTCTCATCGCCTTCATTGCGAGTCTCACTGATTGAGTCATCACATTGGGACAATTCTTTGCGGGCCTCAATGTCGCGTGTGTTGTTGACACCATCAGCTGCCATATCTGGTTTCTTACTAAGGAAAGAACCAAAACTAGTTAGTAATAAATGAATGAATCAAAGCAATTGCGTAGCTGTCTATGCCCCACGGTAGGCGCCAAACTATTTACCCGTAAAACTAAAACGGTACAGTTAAATTATTTATGTGGTTTATAGATAGGTGAATTGATTTGATCCAAAAATGATAAAGAGATAGGATTAAAATTAAGATTTAACGATTGAAATTAAAGAAGATAACAAGCATAGCTCCAATCTCAACATCCCCGAGAGCAGAAAGGAAAATAATGACAAAGTGAAAAGAAAGTTGTTAAATTGAGAGAAAAAATAGTGAAGTTAAGCTTTTGTGTGCAGGGTGTTTTGTGTGTTTACAATGGTTGTTGGCCCTGCTATTTATAACTCTACCTAGGAAAAAAAGATCCTAGGATCAAGCTCCTCTTAAATGATAATAAAAGATTCATTGATGAACGTGTAACGGCAGGCCTTGAATGCAAATATTCTCTGCAATGGTCGCTCATTTAGTGTTAGCGAATATTCCCTTATTGAATGCTATCCAGTGGCAAACCTTTGAATTCCTACCATCGACTACGTTCCCTTCGGAATTTATCCGGTACCGGTCACACCCTTTATATCCGGTATTGGTTGTTTCCCGACTCATTCTTTGCTTATCTTCGATTCAACGTGTCATGTTACCATTCGACCATCTGTTATCAACCAATTTTATCCCACACACTCCTAATATATAAATATTTATGTTGTGGATCGTATATCAAATTAGATCTTCTTGAGTCTAATTAATCTCAACGCTTCAAACCGTTCTTCATTTGAACATCTTACTAAAAATTATGATCTTTGAACTACTAACTGTCTAGCAGCGAAGTTGGATGTAATATCAGTCGCGGTGCACCCTTATGCTATGGATTAAATTGGTGTTGTTACAATGTGTGGTTGATAAATATGAGTTGGTATATTTAGATTAAACTCGTTGGTTGTCGTTGGGAACACCGGCGAGACTTATAATTAATTTAGTACGACTTTAAAGTATGCCAAGCCTCTAGTTTCTTGTGTCTTTTAAACTATATGCCGAGCTTCTAGTTTCTTATGCAATTTCAAACTAACTCTTGGCTTCGAAATAAAAAGAGTTAAAAATATCCCTCTACTATTCGAAAAGGATCATTGATACTTTATGTTATACTATTGATCCATTAAAGCCCCCAACGTTATAAAACTGGTATAAAAATACCCTTATGTCGTTAGACCCTCCACCATGGCACCCTTACCCCCACATGGTCTGACATATTATTAAGGTGGATGCCATGTGGCATGCCACCTCATCGTCCCAATCCCATTTTTCCTCCCCGCCCTTCTTCCTCTAACACCACCTCCCTCTACACCTAACCACCACCACAATTCAAAACCAACCACAGGTTTGCACATGGTCTAGCATCAATGAGATATCCTAGTAATAAAATTACAATCTTAATGCAGCATACCCAATTCAGAAGAAAGGTTAAATACACAAGAATAAGCACCAAATCTGTGTGGAAATGTCACGCCCCGAACCTAGGAGCGAGACAAGCACCCCGTGCCTCACCTAACCTGGCGTACCAAATTGCGACTAAGGGACTCTGAACACATAATGTCATACTTTGGCCATGGGGCCACCTTGCAAGACAATTTGCGAAGCAAAATATAAAACTGAATGGAAACTAGCACTAACTAAATNAGCATAAAATAAACCAAGGTGAATAGGTTGAACACTTGAACCAAAACTTTAAAGTAGAAAATCAACATGCACCTGTCTCTACTGAGGAATATATGAGGTTAAGTCCACCATAGTTTATTTATGAAACCAAAATTGCATGATTTTTACAAGATTCCATAGAAATTGTTCTGGTGTCTTCCAGTTTTCAAGTTTAATGAACCCTTTTGTTGTTTAGTTAGGGTTGAAGGTGGCTTTAGCTTCTGTTCCCTATAATTGTTAAACGCCATGCCTCTAACTCCTACAGGCATTGAACTCCATCTTCTTAACACTATATTTGGTTGACTTGATATTATTGATGGGGCTAATGGAGGTTGTGGAGGTGAGTTCAAAGTGGTGGCAGTAAAATTGTAGTGGTGTTAGAGGAAGAATGGGCAGGGGTGGGGTTGTATACGGTTAAAATTGGGCCCACCCAATTTTACTATTGACCGAGACCGGGAGGTTGCAACGAAGGACGGCCTCGTAACGGAATAGACTAAATCACAAGAATAAGGTACCGAGTTCAAAATTGGGTTACCTGTCGAGATCGAGGCTAGTATCGATCGAAGCCAAATGTGATAGACATCGAGCAAGATCGAAGATAGCACAATAATAGAAAGGCGAGATATCCATGACTGGTCGAGGATCATTGCGTAAATCTATGAACGGATCAAATCAAAAATGGTTAATTAGCTAATAATGGAATTTCCTTCTGTAATTAGAATTATACCATAACTGGGATTCCTCTACTATTTAAAGGGGGGTTCTAATCATTTGTAAGATACATTGCTCACAGATATCAAAGCAATATAATTCTCTTTCTCGTTTATACTATTGTTCATCAGCTTGTTATATTTGAACTGTTCTTGCATCAACCAGTTCGAGGGTATCCAAACTCGAGGACTGAGTTCCATTCTAATACTGGTTTGCTTTGCTTTATAGTTCATTTATGTTATTAATCTTCATATTTATCAATTGGTATTAAGTGAAATAACGTGTCCTTAGAACCACATTATAAGTTTATCCAATTTTAAGGGTAAACAGTTTGGCGCCCACCGTGGGGCCAAGGATAATAGTGATTGCTTAATACTAATTCCGAAAACACACACTGCTTTACACTTGTTCTCATAAGAATCTTTGTTTTTCGGATAAACATATCAAACTCACAAGCAGCACCTACACATAGACAACGGCCTCGGATTTCACGGGAAAAATGACAATATAGCTGCCCCAGGGATCGAGGCGCCTCAGGCTGACCTCGAGGGAGCACCAATTGCAAATCCCGTCGATGTCAGTTCACATGTCACCCTAAATGCAAATTTGGGCGTTGATCCCGAAGGTAGCATACACAGGGAAGTTCGATCAGGTGGTCGAGGTATGCAGGGCGGAGAAGATGGTAGAGTTAGCCTCCAATTGATATTCAAAATGTTACAGGCTCAACAAGCCGCTATAGCACAACTACAAAATCAGCACCGAACACCGAGTAGGATCGAACCAGAAGTCGTCCACAGGACCGAGCCTGTGCCGGAAAGGTCGAACGCCAACGAATCGGGGACTGACCCTGACGTTTTGAGAATGATCGAGGAGCTCACTAAACAGATTGAATTGGGAGAAAAGAAAATCGAGGTAAATGACGAGAAAGTAGAGACATACAACGCACGGGTTAACCAAATACCGGGGGCACCGCCAATTCTAAAGGGTATGGATTCAAAGAAATTCGTACAGAAGCCTTTCCATCCAAGTGCGGCTCCGAAACTCATTCTAAAGAAATTCCGAATGAGATTGAATCTGTTCTACTAAAGAAATTTGGAGAAACCTTGTCGAAAGGAGCAATGATATGGTACCACAATTTGCCACCTAATTCCATTGATTCATTCGCCATGCTTGCAGACTCCTTGGTAAAGGCACATGCCGGGGCAATAAAGGTTGTGACTAGGAAGTCGGACCTCTTCAAGGTGAAACAAAAAGATAATGAAATGTTGAGGGAACTTATATCTCCGTTCCAGATGGAATGCATGGAACTACCACCGGTCACAGATGATTGGGCTGTTCAAGCCTTTACTCAAGGTTTGAACGAACGAAGTTCGGTGGCACCACGATAGCTAAAGCAAAATTTAATTGAATATTCAGCGGTAACCTGGGCCGATGTACATAATCGGTACCAGTCAAAGATCAGGGTCGAAGATGATCAATTGGGGACCCCTTCCGGTCCGTTTATCCAAACAAGCCCATCGATAGAACTCAAAGGGATATCAACAGAGAACCCTGATCGAACAGAGATTGGTACCAATCATATAACGCAGATCAAAGAAACAGCGTCCGATGACACAATCCCATCCGAAATGATCGAAGGAACGATCGACGACAGAGCTCTCGAGGGCTCATGAGCAAAAGTGGCTTCGATAAACTTGTTGATCCCACAGAAGCACCACGATTATCAGAATACAACTTCAGCATCGACGCATCAGGTATTGTGTCATCCATTGGGAGAATCAAAGATACTAGATGGACCTGACCCCTACAAACCGATCCATCCCCAAAAAACCCTAATCAAATATGCAAATACCATGGTACACATGGTCATAGAACCGAAGACTGCAGACAACTAAGGGAGGATGTGGCCCGTCTATTCAACGAGGGTCACCTTCGAGAATTCTTGAGCGACCGAGCTAAAAATCATTTCAGAGACAGTGATGCAAACAAGAAAAAATAAGCAGGAAGAACCACAACATGTGATTCACATGATCGTTGGTGGGGTCTATATTCCACAAGGGCCCGTGTTCAAACACACTAAAGTATCAATCACCAGGGAAAAACGAACTCGAGACTATATGCCAGAAGGCACTTTATCATTCAATGATGAGGAAGCAGAAGGGATCTCACAAACCCATAATGATGCTTTGGTAATATCTATCCTTATGAATAAAATTCAGTTTAAACATGTTTAAATGATCCAGTAAGCTCGGCCAATATTATTTGATCGAGGATCATGGAGCAGCTCGGCCTACAAGATCAGATCGCACCCGTAGCTCGGATTCTCAATGGCTTCAACATGGCGAGTGAAACAACTAAAGGTGAAATAATCCTACTAATAAATGTAGCCGGAACTATTCAAGAAACAAAGTTCCATGTGATTGAGGGTGATATGAGATACAACGCACCGCTCGGAAGACCCTGGATTCACAACATGAGGGCGGTCCCCTCAACCCTTCACCAAATGCTGAAGTTCCCAACACCGGATGGAGTAAAAACAGTGTATGGGGAA